CCGCCGGGAGACGCGTCCCGCGACGGCGACGGCTCGCTGGAGCGGGAGCTAGAGCGGGAGCGGCGGCGGTAGCGGAAGCGGTAACTGGGCAGACGGAGGATGGCCGAGGGGCCGCTCCCGCCACTGCCGCCCGCGCCCCCGCCGGCCTTGAGCAGGTCCGAGCGAGACTGGCAGTGCGCCTCGCGGCTGCGCTCGATGTAGATGTTGACGGCCAGCACGCCGATGACCTCGGCCAGGATGAACGACAGCCCGCCGAAGTAGAAGGACCAGCCGTACGAGTAGTGGTTCTTCTTCTCCTCGTCCCGCTTCGGGCCCGGCTCGCCCGCGTTGGCCGAGATGTACACGATCACGCCAATGATGTTGCTCAGGCCTGGGCGGGGACGGTCAGACAGGAGCCTCGATCCCCGGGGCGCGCGCCCAGGCCCCAACCCTACCTGGTTTCCCTACCGCCCACAAGGGGGTCCAGGCGCCCCCTTCGCCTCCCAAAGCCAAGCCAGGGCGCTGGTGGCTGAGCCCGGTCCCCAGAGTCTGAACTGCACCCCCAAGGCCCATACGGTCCAGGGCTCGCTCCAGGTATACACCCCTCCTCTGCAGGCCGAGGCCCCGCCCACCACTGGTCTAAGCTCCACCCCACCAAAAGAGGGCCCAAGGTAGCCCCAAGTGATCTAAACTCCCCCAGCCGTCCCCGCCCCACCCCAGCCCCAAGCTGTCCAGGCAAAGGCCGGCCCGGGTCTAAACTCCTCCTGGTCCAGGTTCTGTCCTCGCTAGTCTGGGCCCCAGCCCCAGAGGGCTGAAACCCCACCAGCCCCCCTTCACTGGTCTGCCCTGTCCCCCACCCAGCTGATCCAGGCCTTAGCCTGATCGATCGGTCCAAACTTCACCCCTGACGACAAGATGCGGGCCTGAGTGTCCGTCCAGGTTAGACGCTGACTGGCCTGCCTCCGCCCTTTACGTGGTAAACCCGGCCCTCCCCAGGTCCCAAGCGCTGCTCCCTGACTGCAGGCCTCTGGCCCTAGAGGACAAGCTCCTTCCGGCCATGCCAACCTAGTTGTAACTCTCCCTTCTGCTCTAAATCCCAGCCGAAGTTGGTGCCAGGACCTGCTCCTTCCAGGAGCCACCTGAGCCTGCGCGGTCCCTCCCTAGCGCAGGTCAACTCTGCGCTCTCCAAAGCCCCCCTGGCTAGTTTCTGGTCTCAAGGCTCCACCCTCTTCCTTGAGCTGGACCTGGGGTTTCTTAACCCCAGCCCCCGGGAGTCCCAGCTCTCCCGCTGGACCTCGGTCCCAAAGAGGACGCACAGGCTACACCTACCTTGCCCAGCGGGTGGCGATGGAGCTTGGGAGAAGCCTAGGAAGGCTTCGGGCCCCAGGGGGCGCCTGGGGCAGGGTGGCTGTGTGCGCGCGGGTGGGCAGCTCCCGCCGGCCGCCCCTCCCTCTGCCTCTCACCTGCTGCCACGAACAGGATCCCTGCACCCAGAATAATGTTCCGCTTGGACTTGTAGACCCGGGAGGCCGCCACACACACTCCCCCGAGCAGCAGCAGGATGGCGCTGAGGATGGGGAAGATGCTGGAAGCCCGGACGACTCCTGCGAGGCACAAGAGCAGGGGAGGGGACTCCGGGTTAGCGGGCTGCTGCGCCCCCGCGCCTCCGGCCGCGCGCTGCCTCTCCAGCTGTCCCGCTCTGGCGAGGTTTTGGCTACTTTGTCTCTGCTTCATTCTCCTTTACAGTTTGTTTCCGGCCTGAACTCCTGTTTCTTTTCGCCAACCTGTTCCTTCTTCCTCGGTTGGCATACCCGCCCTCCCCCACCCCGCCCCCCACAAGTGGTTTCTCTAAATCTCTCCTCCCCTTTCCCGCTGAACTCTGCTTCCCTGTGGTCCCGGGGCTTCCCTCTCCGCTCCTCGCACGCTTCTTCCCTGCGCCTCTCCTGCTTCTGCATCTTTCCTTTCCCGATTCCTCCTTCTAGCAAGTGTGTTAAGCTCCCTCCTCTTCTGCCTGGCTTCCTCTCCAGCCACAGGTCTCCCTCCCAGCCTCGCTCTCCTCTCCCGTCACCCCCCTTCGTCTACCTACGCCCCCCCCTTGGTTTCCCCTCTTGCCCTGCTCCTCTGCTCCCTCTCCCCCCTCGCTCCCTCCCCGCTCTCTTTGTCTTCCACTCTCCCTCTCTGCAGTCCTCTCCATCAACCTCCAGACCCCAGGCAACCGGATTTCGCGATTTCTGAGCCGGGCTGAGGTCGCAGCCAATCATAAGTCTGGGTTTGCCGCGTTCTCGAGGTAGCGACCAATCACACCGCAGGCTTTCCCAGCCGGCTCCTCAACGTGGCCAATCCCCGCCGCAGATTGCCTCACCGCTCCAGGGCGCAAGGGCCAATCACTGCCCGGGAATGGACAACCAGTCACAGCGCCAAGTGGCAAGCGAGCGCGCGAGAGAGCAAAACGCCGCCAATCAGCGTCGGGGATTCCCCCCCTCGGCCCGCCCCAAGGTGAGAGGAGGGGGCGGGAAAGGGAGCACTGAGCCAATCGGGGACCAGAGGATCTCAGTGTCTAGACGTCATTGGCTGGCAAACTCATCTTTGCACGTCGATCTGGGTTCCGGGCCCAACCCCTTCTCCACCCCCCCAAGTTCTGCAGCCCCCCAGTTCTGTCCCGGCACCCCCACGTACGGAGCAGATACTCCGCGCTGTCATGGTCGTAGTCCGTGTCCTCCGGAAAATGGTTGATCTTTACGCAGACGCCTCTTTTCAACCCTGGAGGGGAGGGATGGGTTGGAGGTGGTGGGAACTTACTTGCTTTAACTGCTGAGGGACCCGGGTGGGAGAAG